CTACACGGACAGTTGTGACATTTGTCATCACAGAATTAACGCCTCTCTGCAGAGGAGCTGCGTTATCGAGCAGAAGATCTAAAAGAATCACAGAATCACAGAACCGCTCGGTTGGAAAAGACCTCTGAGATCCTCACGTCCAACCGCTCCTGTCTACCCCCTAAACCATATCCCTAAGTACCTCGTCTACCCGCTCTTTAAACACATCCAGGGTTGGTGACTCCACCACCTCCCTGGGCAGCCTGTGCCAGCTTCTGACGACCCTCTCAGTAAAGAACTTCCTCCTTATCTCTAACCTGAACCTCCCTTGGCACAGCTTGGTGCCGTTTCCCCTTGTTCTATCCCCCAGCACCTGGGAGAAGAGCCCAGCACCCACCTCTCTACAACCTCCCTTGAGGCAGTTGTAGGTGGTGATGAGGTCTCCCCTCAGCCTTCTCTTCTCCAGGCTAAACAAGCCCAGTTCCCTCAGCTGCTCCTGAAGAAGATACAGATCCAGTTAGATTTCTTCCCAAGGATTCCTTTCCCAAAAACAGGCCCACAGAAAGCAAACAAATTTTCTCATGAATGTTTATTATGAACAAACAACTTTACAATGCAGTCATTTCTACTCCTCAGTACATGCTTGAAGGTAACTTCCGTGACCTTGAAATCTCAGGGGGAGAAAAAAAGTTATGACTACGCACAAATCCAGGATTTTAAAAAGAAATCAAAAGATCTTTCAAGGCAACCACTGAAATGTCTTATTCAAGCTGCAAGAACTCCCTACCACCTGCGTACAACAATCTTTCAGAAATTTATGAGACCGCAGCACGGAAGTGAAGGGCCAGACATTTGTTCTGGTATCCCATACTGAGGGACAGCTTGTAGTTTTATTACATTAAGTACTGCACTGCTTCAGGGCATGATAGTATTTTTGCATGGCAAAGAACAGTTTACTCCGTTATCTAATGACTTTGGTAACAAAAAGAGCAGATACCGCGTATCATTATAAATTACTGGAAAAATAAAAACACCCACAAAACAGTAAAGCCTACACGAAAGGGAGTAAATCTTCCGTTACCAGAGGCAATGAGCAAGATGGATCAAAATGTTGTAAGCCACAGGTGCAAGCGTTCGGGCAGCTCCCACCTTTCAACAAATAGCACCCGAAGTGGCTGGTGAGTCTCTCTCTGAATCCAGGGTACTGAAGAGAAACTGCAATGGGAAATTTTGGTGGGTGGGTGGTTTGTTTTTTAAATACAACCAATCCTCAGGGGAAAAAAAAAAAAGAAATGCAGCATGTCCAGGGTTTAACCAACTTATTTTGTTTCCAATTGTGGCACTTATTCAATAGAAGAGACCCACCTTCAATTGCTTGGGTGTAGCTTAAGGCCAACTTGTTGTCACCTAATAAATGCCTTTTATTCAGCACCTCCAGATTTCGCTCGTTCTTTCACCTTGCTTAGGTACATTTCACAGAAGATGCAAACACACCGTGGCCGAGGTCTCCTTGCCTTTGCCTTCGTTTATGTGGACAGAACTTTCATAAGCTAAATACAGACAAATCAGCTTCCGTCTGCAGGCGATGTCAATGGTAATAAAAGGCATTGCGAGAACGTGTTTGAATGTTACAAAGGTCTGAGGCAGCACAGCCTCAGCTACAGGTCCACATGCTTTGAGAAACAACATAGCAGCCTCATAAGCCATCTAGAAAACCCTAGCACTGCAGGAAAGACGTGACACTCCCCCTTCCTTTCCAGCACACCCCCCAAACCAACAGAACGTGGCTGTTTCTAGATAGGTACAGCCGGTGCTTCTCTTTTGACAAGAGCTGATTAAGCATATACAAGAGGTAAATTTTAAAAAAAAAAAGTTATAAATAAGATTTGGTAAAACCACAAAATTAAACCAAGAAAAACAAAGATTTATAAATACATTTTAAACCCCAGCCTTCTCCGAATTCCATCCCCACGCGCATCCCATCTCCTCCTTCCCTTCCTTACCTCAGTAAGAACGGCTTTAAGATTTCTTTAGTATAGAGCTGTTCTGCTAGTTTTGATAATTCCTACCTATTGCAGAGAATTGGTCACATTTATTGATGCTCTAAGCTGCACGGCTCATGGGTTAACAATACATTTTTGCTTACAATTCAAGATACTAAGAAGAAGCAGAGAGAGAAAGAAATCTGAAAGGGAAAATAAAAAGAGATTCAAAAACGTTCTTAGCTACATGAGGTAATATTTATTTGGGCTCTTCACAATACTTAAATAAGACTACGCTGTGAGAGGCAGAGCTTTTGACCCTGCTATCACCTTTGCCAGTTGGTTTTACCACCAACAGCGAGCGCGTTCTGCCCCAGCTGGCATCGCTGCCACAGGAAAGGCACGGGACGTTTGCCTTGGACGAAACAAAGCCTTTGGAGAAAATTAAGCAGGGGGGTGGAAACCAAGCAAAACGAGTTAAAAAAGTCATTTTCAGACAGACTTTTGAACTGTGCTAGGAACTTCAGTGTTTGTCCACAGCCCTGTAATCCCGTGAACAAACAGCAGTCATCAATCATTTGAAGGGCAACGGTGATATTACACCTAAAAGCAAAAAGCTTCTGGAATAGCAGAAATGGGGCTTGCATTTTGGCTTGTGGTGGTGGCGGCTTGGTTTCTTTTTTTTAAGAGTTTATGCAAATCTTCAAGCAAGCGAGCGAAACTAATTTTAAGGGTTTACTTCAGCTAGTGACACTTCAGATTAATTCAGCTGACTGTGAAGAAGCTGGTTTGTTACTCACTCATTTGTGGTTTTATCTCCACAAGGGCTAGGATTACTTCATTTACCAAAGCCCAAGAAATCCAGAGCAGATTTTCTGAATACACAATCAACTCTCCATTGGTGTGTGCAGTTTTATTGGGTTTGGTTTGTTTTTTTCCCCAACAGTGGCACCTTGTGATCAAAATTAAGTATTACAGCTTTCAAACAGCACATCTCCCAGAATGGAAATCTCTAAGTGAACAAATCCAAACCAATACTGGATATGGGTATTCCCACCAAAGCCTGATTCCAATGCTTTTTCTTGCTCATCATTCCTAAAGGCCGACAACGGCACTTCTTGTAGCCCAAATAAAACCTTCAGTGACATTGTGACAATTTAGACAGCACATTTAACACGCACGGTGTTATTTTCCCACTCGTCTAATCGCTACTGACTAGATATGCAATGATGTTCATTCTAGTTTAAAACAGAAACCAGCGATCTTCTGTAGCATCAATGTTCACATTAACCAAACCCTTACCAAGTCCACATGAAATCTCTACTCGGATTACTTCAAGAACCTGTACAGACTCTTCCCTACTGAAAATAAAATACGATATGCGTCAACTGTGAAATTTATAAAACTGTTCAATGAAGTAAAAAGCCTTATTTGCTTAAGAGTTTCAAATCTCAAACAACAGATGGAGAACTGCTGTAAAAATCAAAGCACTAGAAATGTTAGCGTCTCATCAATAATGCTTTGACTTGTTTGTGAGCCACTACTCGATAGTAGCGAGGACAAGAGGATCTGCGAGCAGAACTTTTAGTTGTCTGACTAATCAAAACTACTCCATTTCCCAAACATAACCCATGAGCCAACCAAGGTTTTACCTGCAACCTGGTAAAACAAATATTTATCCCAGTGTCAAAGAGTCAGATGCCCAAAGAGTCCCACTCATTCTGCAACTACCACTAATTTGGTCTTGGATTTCTTTTAATTCTCCTCATTCTTGCGCTATGCTTCTCAGTACATACTTGACTGTGTAGGCAAAGGCTGCAAAACCAACTATAACAAACAAGTTCGCCAAAGCTCCGCCTAAAAGTCCATGGTTACGGTTGGCCTGTTGGAGACCTGGGTGATTGGCAGGTGCCAAGGGTACATGCCCATTAAGAAGGGGTATCCCATTCTGACCGTAGTGTGCTTCCCCATCAGGGACAACATCTGGTAAAGGGAGGGTTGGAGGTCTGTTATTGAGCTCTTCTTGTGCTTTCTGTTTCTGTTTAATCTCCTGGAGAAAGAAAAAACGAAAACTGAATGGCTGGAAGTGAAAGCAACGAAGCTTTTGAAAGAGATTTCAGAACCCACTTTCTCACATATCTTTAGGCAAAGGCTATGGTACGCTACTTTATGTTGTAGTCTTCTGAACTAAATTCACTGCATTACACTCATTTGTACAGTCTCTCCAGCTTCTTCCAAAGCGACCGACTTCAGAGGCTGACACCAACAATCATTTGGCCTACCCAAACTCAAGAAAACACAGTATGCAATTCTAAAGTAAAGGGACTGCAACCACATCTGCCACACGTGCAGCTCAGTCAAGGCTCTGATACCAAGTCTAACTACACATTTGATTCTCTAGACAGTGGATCTTTGTGCAGCAGAAAAACAACTCCATTTAAAGATTTGAGTTTTTAATTCTTACACATAGCAAAAGCACCTTTTTAAAAGGCTTTCAAGATTGACCAAAGTAGCTATTCTCTGGAAAAAGTCCTGAACAATTAGTTCATAGGTCTACATAAAGAAACTGAAGAACTACAGAAAACCACATCATTGCACAGATGAACTCCCTTACCTCCACCACTTCAGGGAAGAGCTCGCAGAAGACTTTATCTTTTAAATTAAATGCTAAGCTTTGTGCAGCAAGCTGTCTTTTCTGCGGAGGAAACAAAAAATTATCAGCACTTGCATATAAATGAAGTTACTATACTTTAATTCAACATCTATTTCCCAGAAGAATGGTGCAAACCACTAGCCAACTAGTTTCAAGCATTTAAAACTTCATACTTGTGAATATTATTCAGTACAACAGACATTTCTAGACATAAGATATGGTCTCAGTTCCTCATCTAACATGATTAGTGTTACGTACTAGTGTGCCTGCTTGGAAGACACTTCAAGAGCAAGGAAGGAGAAGAAGTCCTAACCATACTATTTACTAAAAAGGATTTTAAGTTCTGTAAGAAATCCTATCCCCATCTAATTTTCTGTAAGAAATCCTATGCCCATCTAATTTTCTGTAAGAAATCCTATCCCCATCTTATTTTCTGTAAGAAATCCTATGCCCATCTTATTTTCTGTAAGAAATCCTATCCCCATCTTATTTTCTGTAAGAAATCCTATCTGCCCATCACCTGTAGCAGGCAACATACTCATCTCTGAGATACCAAAATGCCAACTGCTGCTGCTGTTATTGTAACTTTGAGGTCACGTTCAACATCCCCCAAGCTGACAAAAGGCACATCCCAGAGTCTGGAGCTTACTGTGAACTCTGACGTCTCTATGCTGCCCAGTGTGGGGCCCTTCTCCACCATAAAACTAAGAAGGCCCGTCAAGATCGTCGAGACCGACCAAGCTGGATTCCAGGTATCTGGATGGAAATCGGTGATTGAAAGACACAACCTTCGAAAGGATGAGACAGGCAGAGCGTTTGATTTTTGCCATTACGACGGTTACACATTACACACATTACTAAAACGGTGTTAATTGCTTAAGGGTTAGAAGAAAATCCTTACCTTGTATTACACTTAAACCTTCCATTAGGTGTAATCATATAAATACTAGGAGGTTTAAAAGGAAATTCTCTGGGGAATATTAGTTTCCCATGATAATAGCCACCTGCATTACATAAAGACATGAATTACTTATTTTGCATGAAGATGAAGTCCTAAGCTGCTACTCAAAATGGGCCAAATTAAACCCTTCACTTCTCTACTTCTCTCCTTCTCCCCCTCACATTAAAGACATCAAGCTCATCATCTTGTGCCTCAAACACGGGAAGAACAATAATTCTGTTGTCAAGCCCGTAATACATCCGAGGAAAAACAGCCAAAGTGTATTTAATACAATACAAAGGGGGCGGTTTTCCAGAAGCACAGCTAACTGCAACTACAATCCTATGAAGAATGCCATTTCAAAAAGCATTTTGTGAGAGGCTCCAGAAGAACACTGTGAAATCTGCAACTGCAATTAATAAGGCTTTTACATTCCTCGATTTCTCCAGAGAAATTCGTAACGAGAATACACGTCTCAGTTCACTGAGAACGTTTATGTGGTGACAAAATGGGATGTTTTTTGAAGTGATCTTTGACTGTCACACGCTATCTAAAGCGAGCTGTCTGCTCCAACACTTTCAGCAGTTACTTAATAGCAAGTTATCTGTCTTCAGTTGAACCTAAATCTGGTTTTGTTCGAGTCCTTGCTAATAGAAACTTCCTAATAGCCAGCAGCACCACTGCCTCTTCTCAACAAAGCTATCACACAAGTCACAGACAGCTTTGAAACTGCGCTGAGTTCTTAGAGCTATTTACAGCGGTTCTATTTTGCCCATTCAAAGCCTAATTACTCAGGCAGAGCCATTCACAACATAAAGCACGTGCATGCATGGTAACTTTTACCTTCATAGGGAGTCATTTCAGGTCCCCGGACAACATAGTGCCTAAGACAAAGAAGGAAATGTAAACAGCACGGAAGGCATCACACAAGCAGACATCCATTTCTCTAGAAAAACGAGAATCAACAGCACTGCAGCAAAAGTCTCACGCTCCACCTCCCAAACCCAAGATTCCCATGCAGTCTGGAGGAGTGAGGGAGTCAGACTTGACGACCTGGAAAATCTTGTTCTCTCCACGAGCGAACAGTCCATTCCGATTCTTACCATTCAAGGATGTTAGATGGGAGGGGCTCTGCACAGATGTAAGGCACTGGATCTTTCTTAATTCGAAGGTAGTCTTGTTTAAGCCTCTGTGTTGCTGTTGTTGGTGCTCTCTTATTACTGTTGTTGCTCATCTAGTTTTTTCAAAACAACATATATAAGTACCATTTCAACACAGTCTCAACAGGTGCAGACTTTGAATTGAACACAGCTCCAGATTTTTGCAAAGTCTGCTTTACAGAGGACTTTTTTTTTTAACTATAAATTAAATTCCCATAACTTTTAAGTGGCCAGAACCATGCAAAATCTTAACCAGAACGCTCCCAAGAGCCTCAGGATATTGCCAAAATGGGAAAACTCTCCTCCTAGAACACTACTGTTGAAATACTGCAGGGAATTGTTGTCGTGAAAATACGCTGCACTGTAGAACCCATTTGAGGGAATAACCAGTCCCACGTTAAGGCTGAACACACATCTTTGGGACTTTGGTTTTAAAGAGCTTAGTCTCTCTGAGTAATTCATTTCCCTATTTAGTTTTAATATCTGTGATTTAAATTTGCCCATGATTTGTCTACACATCCAGTTATCTGAACTAACTAACAGGCAAAAAATGACAATAACCTTGTTACTGACTTGGAGATGAAGGCTTTAAAATGAAATCTGCTGCCTGCTTTAAGAGTCCGTTGAATTTCCAGAAGGGAACTTCTGACTGAGATTATTCTCTTGCAGACAAACAAAGACCTCATCCAAAATGAGGCAAGTCAGTGTGAAGAAAGGAGATTCCACGCTGCTTACAACACAAAGCAAGCATTAGCCCTCACAATGCACCTGCAGAACACACACCAATTAACTGCCACTTAACTCACTTTCCCCTCAGAAATGCAGCAAGTTAGGGCAGCTTTACACGTGGAAAAATCAAGCAAAACCTAAAGATTTTATAAACAGCTTGCATAAAGAGACGTGGCAATGCTTAACACAGCACAGCAGCATTTGGCATGAAACTTATGTTAAATTCCTATGACCCTTTCTACTCCCTTACTTCAAAAATAGCTGAACACAATTCAGTTTGAAAATATACGGAAATCATGAGCAACAATTGTACGTGGTCAAATATTCAGACTCTACTCAAAACATGTATTTAACCTGGCTTTTGTCAGAACTGCTGTAAACCTTTGTTTCAACAGCATTTTTTCTTGAAGAAACTCACGCAGGTTTTTAAGGCACACCTCTCAAAACCATAAAGCTAAGATTTTTGGTTTTTTTCCTTAAAAGAAGCCAGCTTTGACTTTAAAATACAGACTAAATCTCTTTTGAATTTGACACAATGATATCTTCCGAAGTCTTGCACTATTGTGCCTCCCTGGGGACTGCAAAAACGCACTGAATATTTCAGAGCGCTAAGTACAGTTACGGGTATTCTAACACCCCTCAAAGCCTTATCTGAGAGAAGATTTTTATCTTAAACGCAGAAAATAAACGGATACGTTTACAGAAGCTACAACCGCAAACCCATTTTCCCATCTCGACAATACCATTTACCAGACCAAAAGCCAGCCTAAAAAGAAAGCAACTCGCCAGCGGTTAGACAGCCGAGCAGCAGCAGCAGGATGTGCCCAAGCCCCATGCTCCCCACCTGCCTTGTGGACCGAGAGCCAGCGCCTCCTCCTGCGGGTAAGGGTGAGCCCAGGCCTGGGGAGACGGCAGCGACAACCGGGGAGCTCACAGCCTTCAGCGAGCCGGCTACCCGGGAATGGTCCCACCGGGCCAAGGAAGCAATGGACCGCGGGGGACACAGCCAGCCGAGCCCTCCCGGCTCCTTCAGCTCCCTCATGAGCTCGCCCCACCGGCCCAGGCCCCACTCACCTCTTCCTGCTAAAGCAGGCCCCTCCACCGCCGGGACGCCCTACCCGCCTGCAGCCGGAGGCCAAGCGAAGGAGGGAGGAGAGGAAAAGGGAGACGGGAGCGACACAAGAAAAAGCGGGTAAGGCAGAGCAGGGCCGCGACCCCCGCGCCTCCCCGCTGCGGCGCGACCACGGCTCCCAGCCAAGATGGCGGCCCGGCCAGGCGGGGCCAGAGCACTGATGGCGTCTGCTTCCGGGAAGGACCCGCCCCGCTTCCGGGGCGTGCGCGCGTGCGTCGCCACCAGCTCAGCTGACTTCCGCTTCCGGCCGCCTCGTCAGGGCTCAGAGGGAGCTGCTGAGGGTTCAGCCCCGGCCCCGCGGCC